GGGTTTGGGGGTAAGGGGGGGGCGTGATCCGAAGGTAAAAACATCTGTACCATCTGAAAGGAGATGAACGTCTCGCCGGATTCCCAGCTCCAACCCCACACACTGTCTATTCTGAAGAGCCCTCAGGGCAGAGCTGGGCTGCTTCTGTCGGGGGGACGTCCCCACGGAGGGGACAAGGGGGGGGATGGATGACAACGAGGAGAGACAAATAAACTAACGGTGCTTTGTTGTTTAACAATTTAAATAATAAATAAGGTCCCCAGTACTCCTCTCTCAATAAAATGCAACATGACGGCCCTCTCCCTCCTCCTGGGCCCAGCGGGCGACCAGGGCTGCACACAGGGGTCCACCCCTGCCCAGGAACAATGGGGGACAGGACAGCGGCTTCCCTGCAGGGGCGGGTTGTGCTGGCCCCTGAGTCTCAGAGGCGGCCCAGGTTGGCCTGGAATGGGGTGGGGGGTGCGGGGGGGTTGTTTGTGTTCATGGGGTGATGACATGATGTGCGACCCACCGGCCCAGCCTTTTGAGCCAGAGAGATGAGGCGGGCAGCAGGCTGAGATTCGAACCCATCGGCCAATGGACCCATCGGAGAACATGGGATCTCCATGGTCCCTGCCACCCCACTTACACCCACTCCAACTCCACTCCCTACCCCCACCCCAGGCCCAGGGCCGCCTGCTGCCTGCTCACCTGCCCTCGGTGGGGATGGGGTGGGGGGTGGGGGAAGGCACTCTGAGAGGACAGAGAGGGGCAGAGCGAGTGCAAAGTACCGTAAGGGCATTGGCTGAGCTGCTGGGACGGCCGCTCAGCGCTCAGTGTGTGAGAAGCCAGATGCTGCTCTCCTCTCTGCAGCTGCCCGAGCTCTGAGCCTGGAGGGCGTTCCTCCACTAGCCTGGCCCCAGCACAAAGGAAAAGATCCGGTTCCCTGCCTGGGAGCCCAGACATGGGTGGGGGCGTGGGGGGAGGGACCACAGCTTCCTGGTCCACATCCCAGGGCCTCCCTGGCCTCCGGAGCAGGGGCCTCCTCCCAGCCCTGCCCGCTTCCTGAGGTCCAGCCCGGCCCT